ATATATAAATATATATATTCGTCCTCTTCTTTTCTTATTTATGTACATATATATATGACTTTTGTTCTATGATTTTCCTTGAACTTCAGTTGAATATGTTTTTGATTTTTGGAACAAAGCAAAACTAAAAATACAAAAAAAAGTTTAATTAAATTCTTAATTGAAACCGTATTTAATTGTTCTATAATTTTGTACTAATGCGTCAAATGCATTTGTGCACGCATTCCATTCTGTTTTCTCAATCCATTGAAGGTGTGTTTCGGAAAAGGTCTCTAAAAGGTAACTAAAAAATGACAAAATGTCCAAAAAACCATAAAAAAATAAAATAAATTCAGAAATTCACAAACATGTATGAAGTTTCTTCAAATTGAAACTCTGTTTACAATATAAACAAAATGTTATTTGTTCATATTTAGTTGTTTCGTTCTATGCCAAAAAAAAATATATATATATATATTAATAACAATTAACAACAATAACAAAACATAGTTACTTATATTGAATATGAACCAAATATAAAAAATGAAACAATTTAGCAAATTTCAATCAAAAATAATATTTGAAAATTCTGCATATTTTATTTCAAAACAAATTTCTTATTAAAAAAAAAAACAAAAACCATTGCAAATATTTCTAAAAATATGTATTTCTTTTTGTTAATATTTTACTATGCTTTCAACATGTTTATTTCGTTTCGATATATTTTACTTTCATTCATTTAACTTCATTTTGGAATCGTTATTTATTTATTTATTTTGTTTTATGTTTTTTATTTTTTTATTCTCTGCCTTAATTCGGGTTGCGCTGCGTCTTTGGGTTTTCTGTAAAATAAAAAAGAAAATTAAATAAAATAAAATGAAGATCAGGAACAAATTCAGTTGGGCCTCTCCTGATTCCCTTCCAATTGTTAAAGCCAAGGCTTCTTCAGATCAAAGCAGCTTCGTTTTTTTGAAGTAAGCTAACTTTCTCGAACTCCTAAGCTTGTCCTACAAAAACAACTCTTTTGCTGCTCTCTCTCTCTCTCTCTCTCTCTCTCTCTCTCTCTGTCTCTGTCTCTCTCTATGTCTCTTTCTGTAAACTAACTAAATAAGAATAAATTACATATCTTAAATGAAATTTCTGACTGCACGCGGTTTTTTCTACTCATATATCAATTGCACATTTTCATTAAACAATAAAAAAATGTTAATAGGTCTCTAATAAAACAAGTTGCTAAAGTTGCTCTTTGGGCCAATGAAACCGTATTTAAATCAAGGCCAGACTTGAACTAAATTATTTCTTTACTCTCTTTATTTATCATATATATTTCGTCCCCATTTTATTCTTAATTTGGAATGTCATGCACTTAAGATAATTCGTAATTTCGTTGCTTTATTAGATTGTTCAGATTTAATTTGATTTGTTATGCATTCTTTTGAGTTTAATATAAAGCAGAATATATTCACATATTATCTATATAAATTGTTTTCAAAAAATAACTTATTCGATTTCGAATTTCAACTGTTTGTGGCCCCAAAGAGAACTTTTCTGAAACCGAGAAAATGAAAAAAAAAAAAAAAAAATGAATAAAAAATATTCACACACAAATAAAAAGAAGGAGAAAAGAATAAGAAATTGATGCTATTAAAGAAATTACGCTCTATATTATATATTTAACAAAAAAAAATATATTTTGTTTATTGTATATAAACAAGTCAAGGTCTATTTATTTATCAAAAAAAAATAAGTTTTTTTTTTTTTTTTTTTTTTAATTAAATATCTATGATTTCGTAAAAAAAAATTTTTTTTTTTCTTGTTTTCTACACATATACAAGAAACACGTAAAACAAAAAAAAAAAATTTTTTTTTAAAAGTCTAACAATTTTATTATTCCAAACATATTTAGAAAAAAAAATCAATTTTTTTTCGAAGTCAGCGTAACAAGTACCTTTAGTACCTGTATAAAAAAAAAAATGTTTTTTTCTTCCAAAGATTTAATTTAACAAATACCTATAATGCTTGAATCAAAAGTGCGACACACACACACATACATGGACACATACACATACATATACATGTACATTGATCCATTTTTTTCTTAGACCTAACCCAGTCACAGCATCACATTAATCTATACATATATATATATATAAATACGATATGCCACAGACACACAGACCACAAGAAACAATTTACTAATTTTTCTATAACTCTTACGCTAAATACATATTCGGTACTTTTTATTAGAAATAACTTACATCTTAATACTTTTCTCAATAATACTCTTTAATACATATAAACAATTGCTTTGTAATTATAACACACTACCGTATTTCTCTCTCTTTAAAGACAAAAAGTTTTTCATTTTCATTTAGTTGAACAATTTTTCGAATTACATAATGATCTGCTAATAAGACATAAGTAGAGTTTTCAAAGAGTTATTCATATTTAGTCTATGCAAATCGTCTTTACGCTGATCTATGCCTGAAAATTGAACGTCTTATTACCCATTAGGCGGACCGTCACGGGCCCAATGGGAGGATGTAACGGGCTCCACGCCCTTGACATTTGTCAACGACTGCGTATCATTCACAACAACAGTTTCTGCCCGTTTCTGGCTGATGGATTGTCGCAACATTTCCGATGCAACCAAAATGGCAACAGAGCTGTACAAGTAAGTTGAATATTAAAAGCTAGATCTCATATAGATCATATTAACCATGTGCTCGTTATAGGGAAGTCATTCACGTGCCCTTCATAGCCAGATTTGTGGTATTTGCCAAGAAAATAGAACCTTTCGAGGCACGTCTGCGCGTCTTCTGTATGACCGACGATCGCGAGGATAAAACTCTCGAGAAGCATGAACTATACACCGAGGTAGCCAAGAGCCGTGATGTCGAGGTGCTCGAAGGCAAACCACAATACATTGAAATGGCTGGCAATCTAGTGCCCGTTACCAAGTCGGGTGATCAATTGCAGTTGCAGTTCAAGGCCTTTCGCGAGAATCGTCTGCCCTTCACGGTGCGTGTAAAAGACCAGCATGCAGATATTGTGGGTCGCACGCTGTTCATGAAGGAGCCTAAGGTGGCCAAGGGCGAGCCTCCACAGCAACCCATCTGCATACTCAACATTGTCCTGCCAGAGGCTGTCATACCCGATTCGACGACAGCATTCTCTGAACGCGTCTCCTCTGCCTATCGCACCTCGATGTTCAGCCTGAGCAAACATCAGAACGATCACTACATTGGCGACATACGCATTGTGGACCTATCCAATTTGTTGGGCAAGGACTGGATACAGTTGGCCCCAGAGATAGGCATAACAGCCGATGAGATTGACGAAATCATCAACCAAAATACCGACAGTATTGCGCGACAGGCGCAGAGCATGATTCGCTTGTACAAAGATAAGCCAAACTACGATATTCTAGCACTGGAAACAGCTCTTAAAAACATCGGAAGAGACGACATCATGAAGAAGTGCAAGAGTGGCAGATTGTCGCATTCGCGAGAGTTTGACGAGGCAGATCTTATGAAGAACTCCGAGTCCGTAGAAGAGCTGGTCCGCAGAGAAAGTGAGTATTTACTATTGGGCATTTAAAGCATAAAACTAATACCCACACATATTTTCGTTTAGGTAAGCGAATACAGCAAATCAACGAACGCGAAGAAGTCAAATACTCTGCTGAGGAGAAGGAAGTTGAAGAGTCTGAGTCCGATGAGGAGCCAGCAAAACGAACCGTTGCCGAACGCCGAGAGAAAATCGTCAAGCGCCTCTCGGTGGAACGCTCCATACCAGCCTCCACCCAAAAGAAGGAAATTACACGAGAGATTACTGAGATCAAGCGCAAGAGCTTGATTGAGGATAAAAAGGCGCACCACGAATCAGAGATTCTGATGCAGCTACCCGCCGACAATGTCATAATCAAAACCACGACAGTGCCCGAGCAGGTCATCAAGATGAAGATGGGCAAAATGGATTCCACTGAAGTGAGCAAGAGCGAATTCGATAAGGAGTTGACACATAAGCTCAAAACTTCCGGACGCAGCTCAGAAGAAGAAGAACYGCCATCTCCAGACAAGGTTGATAAGATTGTCCAGGACATAAGCACCGCTGAGAAGACGGCCAAGAAGGATACGGCAACGACTAGCCGAGTGGGCTTTATTACCCGCCAGGAAGCGCGTGACATGACCGAGGATTTCTTGGAATTCGAAAAGCGCAATCAACTGCCATCCAAAACGACGGCTACAGTTCATGAAAAGTTCTCAGAGGAGTTCAAGGAAAAGACCAGTCCTGTGGCAACAATTGCTCAGGAAACCATCAAAGAGGTTGAGCAAGTCATCAGTGAAGTTACTGAAACTGCTAGCAAGAAAGTGGAGAATATAATCAGTTCCTTCGAGAGTGGCAAACAAGAAATCAAGGAGAAGAGCAGTGAGCTCACCAAAGACACAACGAAGGTCAGCGAGACCATAAAGCAGCTGCAAGAAACCAAAAGTACAGCTGGGGAAGAGATTTCCAAAACAGTTGAAATTGAGAGCACCAAAATTGAGGAGAAAATTGCTGACTTCGAGGCCAAAAAGGTTAGATACGATTTTCATGGCGGCGAGCCAAAGACACAAATACCCAAGCTGGTAAAGCGATCTAGCGAAGAGCCCCTTAAGCCGACAGCAGCACCTCGGGCTGCAACTGAAACGGAGTTCGAAAAACCTGTCGAGGCTAAGGTCGAGAAACAAGTCTCAAAGATTCCAGTCAAGACCGGAGAAGGTGCCAAGATTGCCGAAGTGGATGCCCGAAAGTTGACACAAGACTTTCTGCAGGCTGAGCAAAAGACTCAGCTGCCGGCAGTCGAGCCCAAAGCAGCTCCGGCTGCAAGTAAGATACCGAAGGTGGAGCCCAGAAAGTCAATTGACAAGGAGGCGAAAATCTTTGATGACATTGTAGTATCCACTGCAACGATTATGACATCTGGAATGGCTGCCGAACAGCCCAAGCCACAACCCGAGGTTGCTGCCAAGGCTGAAACTGTGAATGAAAAGTTGACCGACCTGATTGACACATTCCACAAGATCGAAGAAAAGATAATCAAAACTGACAAGCCAGCAGAGGTGGCTGACAAAATAGAGGGACTTGCTGGCAAAAAGGAGGAACCTCAGGTTACAGCTCAGCAAGAACTGCACGAATCAGCCAAAAAGGAAGATAAAGTAGCAGAAAAAGTAGCTGGTGCTATAGAGACATTCCACAAAATCGAGGAGCACATTGTCTTTGATACACTTCAGAAAACCAATGATTTCCTGAGTATGGAACAGCAAAGCCAGCTGCCCAGTCTGCGAAGTGCACCCGAGTCGCTGATCGAGTCCAGCCAGACATCAACAGCTTCCGAGCCAGAATCCGTGATATCTGTAAAAGCAGCACCGCCAGCCAGTAAAATACCTGTTGTAGAACCAAGAAAGTCATTAGTCGAGGAAACAGTGAAACCAGCTGGGGTGGCAAGCAGCCAACAGCAGAAGCCAGCTACACTAAACGAACGTCAGCTTACCGCAGACTTTTTGAAGATGGAGCAACAAGCTCAGCCTCAGCCTCCGTCGCAGCCTCAGTCTCAGCCCCAGGCTCAGTCTCCAAAGATTATCGCTGAAACAACCATTTTGCCAGAAGTGATGCAGACAAAACTTGCTGCGCAGGAACCAACAGTCATAACTGAGATAAAAACTACCACTGACAAGGAACCTAAAGCCACAGTCGTAGAGCCCGAGACGAACATCGTTGCTGGAGATGGCATCGAGTCTGCTGCACCAATTAGCGAAGTTTCACCATTTGCCGCACGTAAGCTGACTGCCGATTTCCTAGCGATGGAGCAACAAGCTCAGCAGCCTAGCATACCTAAAACAATGTCAGAATATGATAGCGATACGTTCGATAAGCGGGCCACAGTGCCATTGAGCGATGTCCTCAAAGAAGAAGGACTCTCTGCACCGCTGTCCATTGAGCCACGCAAATCGCTGACCGATGCGGAGTTCTGCAAATATGTCGGTGAGACCATTACCAAAAAGATGAGCGAGGGTTTAATTGAAATGCCAGATGCACTCAAACAGATAGGTGCGTATACAAAAGATTCTGATATAAACCAGAATATATACCTAATTGAATTATACTTTCAGCGAGCGACATACCATATTCCCAAACTCCGCCACCAACACCGAGTGATGCCAAAACCGAGAAGCAGAATGAGCAATCCGACCTGGGCGATCTAGAGCATGGTAAATTCTTAGTAAATTAACATCTCATTGATTACACTATTTGATGTGATTCTTTACTATATATATATAGATTATTTAGCCGACACTGTGACCACTTTGCACACGACCGCAGAGTCGACGTTCGAACGCGTCGCTGCCATTTCCACAGTTGGTAAGTGCTGCCTCTACTCTATGCAATTAACGTATTTGTTATGTAAATTGACTTACCAACGTTTTATGTTTGCCTTTTTGGTATAAGAAAGTGAACTCGTAACACCCCTTGTTTTTTGGTTTCTATTTTCCCTTTGATTTCTGAGCCTTTTGTAGTGTCTTTGTTTTCTATTTTCATTAGTACAACTTATAATTTGGTATTTCCTCTTGTTTTGTATGTTGAACTCATTTCGTTTTGAATTCAAATCCAAAGGCTTTTTGTATGCAAACTACCATTCATTAAAACTATCAACGATTCAATGGAAACGAAACAAGTTCATTGTTAACAATAAATAGTCGTAAAAGCATCAAGCAACAAACTACTAGTGTGTATATCTTAATCAAAAAAGTCTGTATGTGAAGAAACCATAATTCGCAATTCACTAACTCAAATTGAAGCTCACCGAGTTGCGTTTGGCCAGCAGCAGCAGATGGTGACAAAAGCTCTTCAAGAAAATACCGCTGAAATACCGTTGTAACGTCGCAGTACTATAGCTAATCCAATTACCTAAAGTCTAAGGTCGGGAAAATGAGGAAAACACAAACAAGAGAAAATCCCCAATAGTTCAGCTAGTGTCGGGCGCCGCTGCAACCGCTGTGGTTGACTAACATTCAAAATTGACAATGTCAACACAAAATGTTCGAATCGATAAAAAGCAATTGCATTCATTGGGTAAATATTCAGGGGAAAGGGCAATGCAGTACATTCAAGTTTAAGCTTAAATCATAAAAGTTTCCAATATACAACCTATTATTTCGTCTAGTTAGCTCTAGTTAGACTTATCTAAATATGTATGTATTATCTTATATCTAATATAATATAATATAACTGCTCGTAGTTTTGGGGTAGGTGTCGTTTGTTATGTCACTGCGCAGGCCGTCGAATGGTACGCGCTGGCGTATACTTAATTTAATTTGTTTCGTTCATTTTGGCGTAGTTAAACAGTGAGCGTACATTTGTTCGCAGATTTAGTTACACATTTGCATTTGCCCAAGTACACGCGACGGTAATACGTAGCCGATTTTCCTGTAGACGCGCTGTCTTCTATCTGCTGCCTTCTGGCCAAGCCAAAGCTCTCAACTATATTGTGGCCTAATTTGTTTTGTGTTTCTTTGTGCGTTTCAATTTAACGAGTAGTAATCGAACATTGTAGCGTTGAGTTGTTGTTTGTGGTTTATTCAATGCATTGATAACATCTTAAATTAACTTGAATACAAAACAAAACTAGTTTAAACTACACTCAAAACTTTATAAAACTCAATACCCAAACACTAAAGTAACTTTAAGTATTGTAATTTTATGGTAAGTTCTGAAAAAAGCAAATTTGAAAAGTTGCAATTAGAAAAGTTCTAAGCATATAAGATGGGTATCGCTAATAGGTCTCTCTCTCTCTCTCCCACACTTTATAGAGTATAATATAAATATTTTTGTACATCCAGCAACAATAATAATGAACCATAATTGTTTATTTTATGATCGAATATAAAACGACAATTACGTTTGCAATTTTTCAGCAATTATTTATGCAATCTAGTTTATGTTTTACTGTCAAATACTGCAAGCTACAATAATTGATTCAATTTCATTTCAAAAATTTCAAATACAAATGAATAAGTACAATAACAAGTTAAGCCAATATAACTAGTGTACATAACATGCAACATATTAACAATGTACTATAAGATTTTTTTCATTAAGATAAACACTCAAATTTTCGATATTTTCGAACTTCTCGAAATTTATATAGATTCATTTGTCAATCGTTATGTGTGTTGTGATCTGAAATGAGTTGAGTGACCAAATAAATAATTTTATGGAAAACAATCGATCCAAGTCCATTGTGATCTCATTTCGCATTTCGATCCCAACCAAACTGCCGCATTTAGCACTTCAATTCCAATTTCGATATCTGTAACCACCATGGCTTTAAGTTTCCAATAATTTTATCATTTATTTGATTATGTTCTGTTTGCTTTTCGTAATATCTGTGAGTCCTTAACGAAAAAGCATATGTACTCTCTCTCTCTCTCTCTCGTTCTGTCATCTCAAAACCACGAATATCTTAACTAAATGTTTAGTAAAAGAAAATCTAATTGAATATTAAAACATACAGTTAACAAATAAAAAATAGCATCACAGTAGCCGTTATGTAAACATGCATAAATCGTACTCTATGTTTAGTTTATAGATTTTTTACATTTTTTGCATTTGCGGCTTTTACAACAAATACACATTAATGCACTCCTAACGCGCTTCCTTATCCCAATTGGCTACATACTATGTATAATGTATGATGTATCTGTAAATGTAAAAGTTAGATTGAAAACAAAAACATCAACAATAAATACCGCTATACTATTGAGCCTGATTAACTCGAAGGCTGCATCGTATCGTATGTGACATATGATGTCGTGGTATCATTATTCTTGCAGTAGTTTGCTAATTTTGTCTTTTTAAGTTTGTTTCCAAACTCCAAAATGAATGCAAAATCTAAAACATACAACAATTGCTTAAATATTCTTGTGAAAAAAATATGCAAACGTAATTAATGAAAATTTCAAGTTGAGTCGAATTTCAAAATGATGTCAGAGCAGCAAATGGGCAAGGAATCCACGACTTCATATAGACCATACTCTAGACTTACATGGCAGAGCATAGTACATAATAAGAAATGCTCGACTGGCATTTAATTCTATCTGTCTATCGAGACGCATTCTGTTCTGCTTTATCAACTAACTGAATACATATGTAATAATAAGCGCATTTACTTATACCGTACAACAAATTGCATGTTTGTGCCTGCTGCTGGGTTCTTTTATGGCGTACAAGCTTGTAGTCATGCAATCAATTGCACAGTGTAAATAAACTAACCCACCATATAAGTCTGGTTTGTTTGTAATAGGTGTTTAACTGTCTAAATATTGCCTTGTTTCTACTTCTTAAAAATATTGCGCTACCCCACCTGGAACGCCTCAAACAGAGCACTTCAGTGTTCATAATGTAAAAACCGAAACATTTACAAGTACAGATGAAACTGATAAGCTGCTACATAGAATGGCAGCTCCCCCCACTATACAGAAACCATACTCACAAGACACTACCTCATTTACAGAAATGAGTGCAAGTAGTCCAACTCCGAAGACAACGACCACAACAACAACAACGACGACTCTGACTACGCAAGTAGAACGCACCAAAGTAGATTTAACTGCAAAACCCATCGATCATCCAAAGAAACAAACGGAGCTGGATGATGGCCAGCGTGATGCTGGCGATAGGGAATACTTAGAGCAGATCATGGGCTGTGGTGATGTGAGGCGCAAGATATTGCGCTTGGAGAGCTATGGCAGTACGGAATCTTTGGAATCCAATGCCACACAACAGAGCGCACCACTCAAGTACATAGGCGATAAGGTGACAGTTGTTAAAGATGTGGTCCAGAGCATTGAGAATAAGATAAGCGGTACTGAAGTTGAGGCTATTCCATTTCCAGTACATAAGCGAGCAACAGATCAGGAACATAAAGAGCCGAACATCTCTGAGGTAGAGAAACAGATTTTATCTGCTGCAGATCTCGCACTAGATAAGTTAACTAGATGCGAGCCACCTACCGAAGTTGTTAAGCGTTCACCTGTTGAAGCTATGGAGCGGGGAGCAATTGGTATGGCGAAAATTGAAGAAGAGGTGTGCGAAAAGATTTGTGAGAAGCGAAAGGCCTTTGTGGTGGCAGAAGACTTAAATGAAACGCAAAAGACTTTGGATGAGCAGGTAGTAGATATAAATAGGCAAGTAGAACAGGTACCTGGCAGCATTTTACCGAAAGACTTAGTAAGTAAGGAAAATATATTAGAGACATTGCCAAAAGTAAAAGAAGTTGTCCAAGACATTGAACGTAGGTATACCTCAACGAGCTTAGATGTTACACCTTTTAGTCCACGTAAGCGTGAAACTGTAGATCGCAAGCCTGATTTATCCACGATAGAACAACAGATTTTAAGCGAAACTGACTTGGTTCTAGAAAATCTGGGTGCAATCCGTGCTCCTGAACAGAAGGTAGTTTCGCCGGTGCTCCACATGGATAAAACAAGCCCGAGTGTTGAAAACCTTGAAGTAGCTTGCGAAAAGATATGCTCAAAGCGTAAAGTTTCTGATATGGCAAAAGAGTTCCATAGGGAACCAGATAGTGAAGACAGTTTACAATCGAACGATATTAAATCAATTACTGCTAAGTTCCTTTTAGATGAAAGAACTAAATACAATTTAGCCGAAAGTATTAAACAGGCACCCGAAAGTGATTATATTTTATCTAAGCAATGTGATAAGCAAGAGTTTCCAATAGAATTAACTAAGCACAATAATGAAGTAGTATTTCCAAAACTGGCACACACAGTTGAGCGACTGCATTCAATTTCAAAATCTGACATTCAGGACACAAAAGAATTCATAAACGTTGCAACTGAATACGAAAGAAAACTAAGTAAACTAATTTTAGAAGAGAACCGGCCGAAACCACAGACTGATAAAACTGAAAAGGAAAAACAGTTTTTAGATAAGTTTCCAACCCATGAAAAAATTGATATACCATTAAAAACTTCAGTCGATACGGCACAAACCCTAAAACAGATTGATTTTAAACCAATTTTTCCATCTGATACAACTAACATTAAGGCACATGAGAGTGAAAGTGACGAGGAGATTGATCATGATGAGAAGCTGCACAAGATAAAATTACTATCAAATATAGAAAAAAGTCCGCTACAATCTATTTATGTAAGCGACACTAGAATATTAGAGTCGGAAGGAATATATAAGAGCGAAAAGGGAAAGCTTCCAAAAAATTCAATAGAATGCGAAGACAAATTGACATCTGAGCTATTATCAAAAAGCAAAACAGAGATCCAGAACACAGATAACAACACCTCCGAAATTAAACCAGATAAAACACAGCAAAACATAGATGA